GAGAATTTAATCTAATTTTAAAGTACATTAAACATGCATTTATTCTTTCAATTTCTCTCCTTCCATTTCTTTTTAAAATTAAATAAATGAAATTTGTCAATTCAAATATATTATAAAAGTAACACGTGCTCAACACTAGGCCTCGTACTTTATTATCTCAGCCCTATCACACCAAGCACCAGCCGCTCTCCTTCCTCCCCCGTCCCAACCCATCAATTTTCTTCCTATTAATAGCCAGTCATCCCCGTTCATTATCCCTCTTTTCGCTCCCCTCAAAACTGTCTCTCTCTCTTCCAAGCCTGGGAAAACTTATTTGGCTGATAATACGCCCAGGTAACCTTCATTTTCTCTCTGTGTATACTAATTATTTTCAGAAATTATGCATACCCTTTTGATTTTTTTGTTTATGTGTTCATGTAACCTGTATATATAGATCTGAAGTTGGGTGTTTTTGTTTGTCTTTTAGGCTTCGGATTTGTGAATATAAGGCAAAAACCATGAACGGGTGTGTATACCGACAGAATTCGGTGGTGGGTTGTGTTGGAAACATGGCAAGGAAGGGTGATTCTGACGGCGTCGTTTGTCCCAAACCTCGCAGGGTTGGTCTTCCCCTTCAATTTGATGAACCCATCAGATCCCCTTCTCGTTTGCTTCACATCACGTATGCTTTTGTTAATGTCTCTCTCTCCTTTTTTTTTTAATTTGGTTTTTCATTTTATGAATTCTCTATTTATATTCTGTTCTTATGTTAATAGTAATGAACAATCGGAGGCGTGTGATGCAAAGGCCGGAACGGAACTTCTTGATATTATCTTGATGAAGGTATTTTTTTCTCCCCTTATTGATAGAATTGTTGAAGCTTCCCGGGTTTAATTGAATTGAATATTAATATTAATTTTAAGGATATGATGGAATTTGTGGGTTTTCAGTCTGTTATCTTTTTAGACTGTTAAAAATTTTGATGAATGATTAATCTCGGGCGTGCTTTGTGGATTTAGGCTCGGAAACTTGTTAGATTATGTTCTAAAATTTGGTGATAAAATCTTGTTTTTCCTGGAGTTTTGAGTTTGTAGATTGGATTTGTTATATTGATTTCAGATTGAAATTGCTTTCTTGATGAAATTCTTACATGGAAATGTATTGATATTATATAATAAAAGACTACCAAAACATTTGATTTTTTGTTGTGGATGTGAGTCATTTGAATTCGATTTTGAAGTAACTGAACTCTAATTTAGAGATAGTATTTGAATCCCGACTTTGCTGTTGCTGTGGCGGCAATAATTTATGCGTACAATTTGATCTTTGGAGAGAATCAAATTAGATGGATTCCTAATTGCACTTTTTAGCATTTAATTCTATGGCCGCGCCTGGGCTGATGTTTCTTTATTGCTCCACGACAATTATTGAACGCTTGTTAGCTTCTGTCATTTTTCGTGGAATTGATTTTGTTTCCATTTGTCATGAACAGGGAAGTTGTGGTTATGCCCGATCCAATTTTCAGGTGGCTTCATCACCACCATTTTTTTCGGGGTCTCCACCCTCCAGGGCCTCAAACCCTGTCATCCAAGACGAGCAGTTTGGAAACAGCAATTTTAATCCTTTATCACCTGCACTTGAAGCATCACCACCTCCACCTTCATCAGCCCGCAAGAGTGGAGGTTGTGTGAGGGTGAGTTTTGGGCACAAGCCGGCTACAGTGAGGGTTGAAGGTTTCAACTGTCGTGGGAATTGCAGCATTTCTGCTTTTGCTTAAACTTACTTCAAATTCAAGACGAACGTCATACCCGGAGAGGGATTGATTAACATCAATAACAAAACAACGGGGAGATTTTTGAGGAGGAAGGGAACCATTTGTTTAGTAATGTGTATATAGAGTATGCCTGAACAAAGAGGGTCACTTTTTACCGTGTTTTTGCATCGTCGAACGAGTCCTTTTGTGTATATGTAATGAGTTGAAGAGAAAATAAGAAACTGAAGACAGAAAAGGGCAAACAACCCTTTCTGGGCTTTGTAGGTTTTGTTGCTTTGTTGACTTTCATAGAGAGAAAGGAAGAGCCTTTTGTAACTCAAAGAGTTTCACTCTTAACCTTCATTGTAATTTATTTCGAAGGCTTAGAGAATGATAAGTGTTTTGGGATTCTAAGAATTTTCAATTATCTTTCCCCCCTCGGCCTCTACTGTGAATAATAATGTTTGGTCAGGTGGGCTGTACATTACATGTTCGACAAGATTAAGGAGAAATTAAAAAGTTTTATACTTTTATATTGTTCAGTTGTGTCTAATATTACGTATGAGAAGTGTTGTTTGTTAAAGGGTAATTAGCACAAACCGTTCTTATCTTTTATTTTTATTGTGTCAAATGTCTCTTTTTTTCAACTTTTGGCATTATCACCCTTAATATCACATTTTATTGCCAAAACGTCATTTCTATCCATTTTCAGAATTTATGATTACTACTCAGAATGTGTTAGAATTTGGATAAGAGTGCTTGAATGCGTTCACTTAATAGAACATTTGAATGGATATAGACGAAAATGATGTTTTGCGTGATAAAAGGTGAAATTGAAGATAAAAATGTCAAAAATTTGAAGTTATGGAAGTTTTGAGTTAATTACCCTTTGTTAAGTTATGGACTACTATGAATGATGCAAGTTTGAATGGAATGGAGTGATTAATAATAAAGTTTGGTAAGGTGGGCGGTACTTTGTGAATCAAGATTAAGGAGAAAATTGAAATATTTTACTATATTATACAATTCTGTTGACCATGAATCATGTAGGTTTGACTAGATTGATACGATACTCTCAAGATACTGTCTTGTCTTGTTTAATACTATTGTTTGTCTATTGAATATTTAACTTATATAGACTATGAAGAAGCCAAATTAAATAAGGCAAGTTGCAAAAAATTGTGACTAAAAACATTGGAGAGTGAGTACGTGGGGGGATTTGTTTTCTTATATTTTGTTTGAATTGTCTGGTCGATGTAGGGAAGAGTGGGGGTATTGTGTGATTTTCTTTAGGTTTAAAAGATATTCATTGCTGACTAGTTTGTCCAGAGGCTAAGCTGGTTTTTTCAGACAAATAACTAAATAAATTAAAGTGTGTTGGGCTCTGTCTTCGGACCATGTGCATGATGTCTTCGGCTTATAATCTACTTTTTTTTTTTTTTTTAATGGGATTATTGATTAAAGGGAAGAAGGAAAGTTGGGAAGGGTCCATGTAACTAAGCTTATCTGTATGGGAATTTGAACTTTTCATGACGTCCGCAAAAAGGATAGGTATGGCTGAGTGGTTATTAAGAGATGATTCTTAAAATCAAAGACCAAAAAAGACTAAAAAAAAAAGAAGAATAATAATAATAATGCTATCTATATCAGCAGCAATGTGTTCAATAGTTGCTATTACTATAGTAGAAGGGAAGCAACAAAGTCGAATTTACTTGAACGTAACACCATGGTTTTTATTGANTTTTTTTTTTTTTTTTAATGGGATTATTGATTAAAAGGAAGAAGGAAAGTTGGGAAGGGTCCATGTAACTAAGCTTATCTGTATGGGAATTTGAACTTTTCATGACGTCCGCGAAAAGGATAGGTATGGCTGAGTGGTTATTAAGAGATGATTCTTAAAATCAAAGACCAAAAAAGACTTAAAAAAAAGAATAATAATAATAATGCTATCTATATCAGCAGCAATGTGTTCAATAGTTGCTATTACTATAGTAGAAGGGAAGCAACAAAGTCGAATTTACTTGAACGTAACACCATGGTTTTTATTGAGTAATGTTATCTATCATTATGAAACATCAGTGATATGACAGTTTTTATGGAATGAACGAATTGTACAATTCAATTTTTATGAGAGATAAAGATCATAATGATAAATAATATTACTCGTTTTCATTGTAGTTATAATCAATTTTTGATTTGTTTTGTTTTTTATTTTTTTATATAAATAAAGTTCATTGTTTTGATCATATGGAGAGTGAAACTCTTTTGATAAGTGAATTGACATGTTCATAATAATATGTATTATTTATAAGAAATTATTATGCATATTAAAAGAATTATTATTTAAATGATGACAATTAGATATATTTAGTTACATTCCGATTTCCTTAAAGAACTTTGAGTTAAAATATCTAATATTGGAAAATTATGTGCTAATAATGATTGTATTATCTAATATTAATTTTGGATAATTAAGTACTCAATTTTAGAGAGAAATTGATTTCAATGATTAAGAAGTATATATATAATAAATTAATTCAATATTCATATTCTATATTTAAACATCTATTTATTTATTTATGTTATTTTATTAAGTTATAATTTAAATAATTATTCCCAAATATATTTTAATTTATATCATAATCTCATATATTATTCAGTAAATTATGAAGATTATTGATTTGAAATATTTAATACCATTAGTACAGTCGTATATTTAGAGCTCATTTGACATGATTTTAGTTTTACTTTTATTTTTGCTTCTCGTAGAAAAGCTCTTTGAGGAAATTAATTTAATTTTTTTTAAAAACTAATTTTTAAAAGAGCTTTTTATTCCAAAAGTATTTAGAAAAAATCACATTAGACTAACTTCCTCTAAAAACTCTTCTAACTATTAAAATCACTTATATAAAATTAGTCAAACATGTCTAAAAGCAACTTTTGAATTTCAAAATCTTCTTTTGACTGTTCAAAAGTCAAGCCAAACGAGTCTTTAGTATGTTTAATTTTTCGTAAGCCATTATAAATAACTGTTTAGAAATAAAATTATATTGATTATAATTTATTCAAACCATTATAATATACTTTCATCAACTTTTGGAAGGAAAATAGTGTTTAATTTATTTATTACATAATATGTGCACACTTATAAATATTAAAAACAGTTTATTTATCCAATTCTTTAGCTTATCGTACGAGTATATTGACAGTTTATTTCCTTAGAAAATTACTTTGAACCCAACCATACCAACCCCCACTTCCATATATAATTTAAAATTTTATACATTTGTGCACATGGATGATGGATCCCAACGACCGACCCACTCAAATATCTTCTCCCTATAAACTCTTTTTCTATATTTTGAAAAAAAGAGTCTCTCTCTCTCTCTCTCTCTCTCTCTCTCTCTCTCTCTCTATTTTTACATACGAACACACACGCGCGCACACACTCATTCACGCGCGCACACACACACACTCTCTCTCTCTCTCTCTCAAAATCTCGTTGAATCTATTTGATCTCACACGTAGTGGTTTTGGTGCTGTGCGGTGGCTATATGTTGGTGCAAATCTGTGCAGTGGTGATGTGGTGGTTAGATCTCCGCAAGGTGATGGTGCGACACTGGGCTATATGGTGGTAGTTCTTGTGGTGGTGTTATTAATGTGTGTTGCACTATTGCCAAAGATGAAGGCTACAATAACAATCATTTTTTTTGTCTCTCTCTATAAATGCCAGAGGTGATAGGGGTGGTGGGGGATGATGTGAGAACCAATGGCTACTACACAATTGTGTGGTGGTCTGCGATATTCGACCTCGTGCATGGGATGTAGGTAGTGGTGGTGGCATAGTGGGGTAGCGCGACGGAGATGATGGTGGTAATTGTGTGATTATTATGGTCCAACTAGATGTACAGATTTGCGTGATAGTGGTAAGGTGGCAGTAATGCTTGGGTTGTGCCGGTGGTGGTAGAGGGAGTGGGTGACATGAAAATTAATTGTGAAAAACTATGGAAAAATTGGAGTAGCGGTTCCTAACCTTTCTATTTTTTGTAGACTTTATCCTAACCTTTATTTTATGTAAGATGAGGCATCTAACCTTTCATAAATATGCAGTTGAGGTCCCATTTGGACGGAAACCGTCAGTTGACCTGCAAAATTAAAAAATCAGGTATATTGACCCTTTTAAGCAGGGGCAATTTCATCCAATCACTATTCCTCATTTGATTTAAAAACTGAAAAGTAACAAATTCTTTCCCACTCACATATTCATGTTACATAGAGAGAAAGAGAAACGTCAATCATCTACAATGCTTGGTGAAGAAAGCCATGAATCTATTGATAATGTTGAAGATTTTGCTTGTCACATACGAGGCCCTCTTCCTGCTCCTATCTACGGTGAGTATTTTTGTTTTATTTTTTTCAAATTTTTGAAAATAATCGGGCTCATTGTTACGCATTGAGCTGTGATTTGGTTTCTTCTACTACAATATTGCATTTTCTTTACTGCTTTATAGATTTGAGTGTATCATAAAACTTGCAATAACAATGTGTTCACATTATGTATTCTTGTACTATGAGACTGTGTTTGTGCTTGATGATCATTTTGATTGAATTTGTTTTGCAGGAAAAAATTCTACTTATTTCACCATAACGCTACACCATGGTGGTGGTATATTATTAGTCAAGATGCACAACTTTGTGTATGAGCATGGTAATGTAGCATATCTTGACTACGTGAACTCGGATTGGTTTAATAGATTTCTATTGGACAATGCCTCGAAAATGTTGGGGTACGCCCAAAGAATGAGGTATCTCTATAATGTTGAAAAGAATAGATTTAATGAGACATCCTTTTGGTTGGTGAGGGATACAGACTTCATGAATTTTGTAAAATTGCTTGGGGATAAGAGGATTGTTGAGTTGTGGTGTTTGCCCATGGTTGAAGTGTTGGAATTGCTATGTGATGAAAATGTGAGAGATGATATTTTAATTGTGGATGTTGACACGTGAGGTTTTGGAAAAAGTGG